TTGTACTTATTTTCAAGGACAGAACTTGCAAAACCTATTTGCAAGCGATAAATCTTAAAGCACTTATTTTGCTGGTTACAAAACTTGCTATACTGTGAGCATTTATACATTAATTTCATATTCCAATTAAGAAAATTTAAACTTCCCTGATATAACAACAGCAACTAGCTGAAGATTTACTCTTTTGACAGTTCAATATCAGTTCCATCTTGTTTCCAATAAGAAATAGTATAAATTCTGCCTTGTTATTTCTTGTTTACTTTTTTAACTCTACCATTATAAATGGCAAAATGAAAACTTGAACAGAAAATTAACAATGAAAATATTTAAAAAAATCTAATTACAAACAACAAACTAACACTTGGAATATTGCTACAAAGTTAAAGTAAACAATTAATTAATAATTATTATTAATTTTTTATTAATTTGAAATTTATAATTCAAAATTATTAATATAAAACAATATTGATAGTATAAAAAAAAAAATTGTAATTGAATATTATTAGTTAATAACAATTTTATCTTTTATACTATTAATATTGTTTTAACATTATTAAAACACTTTAAAAACATAAACTTAATGATTAAGTTTATGTTTTTAAAGTATTTTAATAAAAAAAGTTATAACTGTTGTTGACTATTAACATTAAATATTGTATACTACTTTATTTTTGTATTTAATAATTAACATGTTTAGATAATGGAATATATTAATTTTATACTACTTTACCTTATAATTATTGTTTACAATAGCCTATTAAACAGGTTATTGTGATCAATAATTAAATGGTTTTATTTTAAAATGATAATAAGATGATGATAATATATTTTAAAAACACTAACAATGCTTTTGTTAATAAAGTAAATAAGTGTAAAGATAAATATGTAACATCACATAAAGTATGTAATCATTACACTTATTTATGTATGGTGTTTTTATAAAGTTGTCCATTATACTTTGATCAAAGTATTCTCAATTGTAACTCAATTGAGTTAACAATTAATTCAAAAGCAACAGTTTTACTGAAGTTTTAGTCTTAAACGTTAAAAATTTAAAAAAGATTTTTAAATTTATCAACATAATTTAGTTTTAAAAATAATTATTACTTATACTTTTATTAAAAAAAATAACTTACTAGTTGTTACAGAGTCCAACAAAACTTCATTAATTTTTTCCATATTATTATAAATAAAAATTTTAATAAAAATCCGAATAAACACATGTTAGTAAAACGTACTTTCGCGGATTTCCTTTAGAAAAATATGCAAATAAAGATTTGTTTTTGAAAGAAGAAAGGTTAAGCGTGATTTCTATAAAACTTTTATGTATGATTACTAAACTTCTTTATAGGTTATTTTGCTTCAAATTTTGCATGAAAATTAAGACGATGTTCTCACTTGAATTTGTAGTAGAAGGAATGTTGATCCCGCTCTTTTTATTATTTAAACAGTTTTCTAGATGTATTTACTATGTAAATGCTAAATTTAAACGAAAAAAAAAGGGAGCAGGCAGTTTACTAAGTGTAACACTTTTGGTACCTAGTTTCTAATTTTCTGATTTTTTTTCGGTTATATCAAATTATTGGGGCAGCTAAGGGGGTCATTCGCTATTTCGAGAATAGTTTTTAAAAACGTAATGTTTTGAAAACGCGGAATGTTTGAAAAACAAAAACGATTCGGATGTTTAAGTATCGGTACTTGTTTAAAGTATCGTCAGGTTATCAAAACATTTACAAAATATTTTTTTTGCTTGAATAATGACAGTATAAATATATAGGTTATGTATATATAATGTGTAGAAAATTAAAAGTAAGTTTGCATGGTGTTCTTTCAAAATTATGAATTTTTTTTGATGACTTTATTATTATTTTTTAAGTTAAAACATGTCTACCAAAAATACAAAATGTGTCATGTGGCAAACTCGCATGACTTATGTCATTTTATTGTCACGTTCAAAATACAGGTTTTTTGTTTAATATAGTGTATATATATATATATATATATATATACATATATATATATATATATATATATATATATATATATATATTATATATATATTTATATGTATGTATATATATACATATATATATATATATATATATATATATATATATATATATATATATATATATATATATATATCACTAGATATACTCAATGGCGACAAAACGTGCTAAAAAAACGCGCTATAAGGCAACAGTTGTGTTAAGGCAACTATTTGTGGTCACCTTAACGTTTCTGATTCAAATTTAATGGCTTTTTGTTTGCGCATTATAAATTAAACTTTACCTAGCTTTAGGTATCTATTTAAATAATATAAAAAATAAATTTTAGATCAAACTAAAATTTTTTTGGGGAGATATGGAAAAGGCAGTTTTGAGAGTGTTTATTGTATAAAACGGCAAATTTGCCTACAAATGCCATATGGTGACAGTTTGTACATTTGAAAGATTTTAAGTGTTTTTATATGTATATATATAATTATTTTTATGATTAAAACATAATTTAGGAGTTAGTCGACTATATTTTACTATTTTCTAAACTTTTAGCACGAAGTGTGCGAATAAAATGCGCTAATAAAAAATATAGTTTTTTTTTTCACTAAAACTCTTATTTTTTACTTTAGGGAAACACAAAACTTTTTTACTATTTTATATAAGAACCAAGTCTTATTAACATAAATTTATTAATTTCGCTAACATCTGTTAAGGCTTTCCTTCATAGTTGATAAGTTTTCACCATGATGTTTTACCCTAAGGTGACGCAACTGAGTAAAATGAACAAAAGAATAAACGTTAAGGTAACACTTTTTTTTGTATATCACTGTGGGGAAGTGCAATTATTTTAATTTCAATAGAATATGCTCCAAGGAGTAATTATAAAATGAGTGAAGTCGTTATAGCGCAAAAAAAAATTTTTTTTGTGGTAAAAACTGCAATGTCGCCTTTTAGTAGAATTTTTGCGCATGTCACCGTAAAGTAGATCTAGGAGTATATATATCTATATATATATATATATATATATATATATATATATATATATATATATATATATATATATATATATATATATATATATATATATATATATATATATATATATATATATATATATAGATTTGTATAGTTTAGCACTTATGGGGACAGATTTTACAAAAAAACAGTCATTTATGGGGACATTTTAGAGTACCCGTTAATTTTTTGTCTCCATAAACATGGGGGACAAAACATTCATCGACTGACAAATAGCCTGACTCACAAGCGAGTGCTGCTATTTTAGGGGCTTTTTTTAAATTTAAGGGTCCTTCTCCTTCTTGTACATACAGTTTAGGTTATGTTAAAACATTTTCGTATTTTAATATTTAACCAAGTCTTTCGAGTGGTTAAAGTTGATGAAGTAACTAAGGTTTATAAAAATGGGCAACATTGTTACAAACAATAACATAAATTATATTATTTAACATAGGTATTAACTTCAATAGAATTAAAAATAATAATTTATTCAGTTTTCTCATAACATTAATAATAATAATAATATTTGTCAATTGTTTTAACTGGATTTTAATGAAGGAAGAAAGGAAAAATCAATTATTAAAAAGTTAAAAATAATAATAATAAAATCATTCAGAATAATAAAAAAAAAACATTCCCATCTATTTTTTATTATTTTTTTATTATTATTTATTTATTTGTATTTGAAAAATGTACAAAATACAAAATGGAGAGACAGTTAATTACAAAATTACTTTTATGTAACACCAAAAAAACAAAAAACAAAATTTAATATGAGTTTATTATTATTCCTATTACTTAGCAAATGATTAGTATAACACTCTCATTAAAAAAGAGTATAAACAGTTATAAGCTGTTTTATTAAGTTACCCGTAAATATAACTGTTCCTACTTTGATGATCTGTATTAATTTTTTTTACTGTTACTAATGATTATTTAAGTAAGTTTCAAATAATGAAATTTACTAAATTAAAACCATTTTTTAACAGTAAGCCAACTGAAACAAAATAATGGCAATAGTCGAACTAAAAAAAAATTAAAATTAAAAATAAATAAATATTTAATTAATAGTGTGCATCACACAAATAAAGTCTTTAAATAAAAGTTTCACTTTCAAAAAAGCTGAAAACGCTCTTACAAAAATAAAGAAAATAAAAGAGGAAATAAATATAAATAAAATTACCAAAAAAGATCTTACTCATTAGCTTTTTTATAACGTAAAGGACTACTATTGAATAAAGATCTTGAATTTTTTTTTACATTCTGGTCAAAATAAAAAAGTTACACAACATTTTTCACCCACCATAAGTGAAAAATAAAAAATAGTTTTTTGTTCAATATGTTTTATGTTAAGATATACATTAAGCCTATCACATATTTTACCTTGACAATAATTGGTCGTCATTAAATATACTAATCAAGTCGGTAACTAATAAGTTTTAGTAAAAAAGCTTAATTGGAATTTCTTGGAGTCAACTAAATTTGAGTAAGAAACACATGTGGGTTATTAAATTGAATTTTTTTTTAAATCAACTATAACAACAGGTATCACAAAAACATAAACCAGTATTACAATCTTTACAAAAGTAATACCGTTTGGAATATAAATATCACTATAGTATAAATAACGCCCTATTATAGAAGAGTATAAACAGTTTTTATTTCAAAGAATAATAACTGTTTATACTCTAACATGCCACTTACTGCTCTTTATCTTTAACATCATCAGTTAATTTACCAAAAAAGCAATAAAAATAGTATTAAAAGTAAGTTAAAAATTGAATTAATAAACAAACTTTTATCTAAAAAAAAAATATTTATTAAGAAAATATATATTAAGAAAATAAGAAACTTCATATTTATATACTAAACCTTTTTATAGATATTATAAAATTTAGAAAAAAAGCTTATCACAATTGATAGTTTAAAAAAGAAAGACAAGCTAAATCTTAAAACATTTAATTTAAAAACTAAAATTTAAATTTGTATTTTTAAAGTATACTTTCCAACATCTATAACATACATATAAGACAGGAGTGTGAATAAAATAATTTTAAATAGTATTAAATTAACTAATTGCTTATGTTTTGCATCCTTGATGAGCAATGTTTAGCTTTCTTTGAAATGAAATTCGTTTAGATTTATTCCAAAGATGCACAAAAAATTGCAAATAAAACATTGAGACATAAGCTTTGCAGACCGTTTGATTTTTTAAATGTAGCTGTTAAATTGTTCACATATTGATGTATTTACCAGAGATGAGGAGGTCAAACGACTATATTTAAAGGCATTTGAACATTTATGCGTATATCCATGAAAAATGTCATGAAAAAACGAGTTTTTGCAAAGTACTGTGATTCTCTGTTTTTGCAATATTCTGACAAATTGCAGGCAAAGTCATAAAATAAATCATTTAGGGCTTCTGGACAATGGGTATATAGTGATGCAGCAGGGTCTTTTCGACCTTCGCTACCTGGTATTACATGAAAACCATAACAATGCCCATGAACAGGGCAGAACCAAAAAAAAGCATAAGTTGTTCCTTTCTTTGAAACAGAAGGAAATTGTTTATCACAGTTGACATCAGGATGGTCATCAAAAACAGATTTTTTATGATCTTCTTTATCTATAGTAAAATGACGCATTCTTCGAATTTGACATCCGTGTGGGGTAAAGTAATATGCGCAAATTTTGCTGGATTATACGAGTTATCAATTATGTTTGCATCTGCACTAGGTTCATTGAAAGTATGGATGTTAATTATTGCTTTTGCAATATAGTCAACAAGCATGGCTACATCATAACATGGCTTTATATTAGAAATATTATTAAATAAAGTAAACACAAGGCATGACAATTCTGGGCAATAATATTTTGATTCATGCACAAAACTATTCAGCTCCTCAATTGAAACAGTATTTTCCAGCACCAAAATCATAAAAGATGATACATCTGAACAGAATCTAAATGGAATTAAGGACTCCATTGATGCATCAGTTCCAAGTAACGAAAAGAAATCTGCCAGTGCTCTTCTTTCTTGTAGAGTACACTCTTTCCCAATAACCATCCTGTTGAAAGCAGCCTTAGCAAAGAGAGGTACAAAAAAATCTATAGAACTTGCTAAAGATGATACATTATCAACATCATCACAATTCTTTATTATTTCACAAATAGTACGGATAACTTTCCTTGCATGTGCAAAATCTTTAGGGTCTTTCTCTTTAGTGTTAGGGATGAAGCAACAATCAAACCTACGGAATGTTGTTTCTGGAACTTCTTCAATCTCAGGAGTTTCTATAGCTTTTACAAATGTTTGTTTAAAGCCAATGCCAAGTTTTGTTCCATCACATGCTAAAATACGATTACTGTTTCCGCACATTGTACATTGTTCTCAGAAGTCAATCCCCATGTGAGAAGCCCATCCAAAAAACCAATCAATAAAAACAGAATTAGACATAAATGATACTGCATTATTCATACGCTTGTATCTATTGGACATATTGGTAATAAAACCACTAAAAGTTTGACCACTGGTTTGAACTGAATCAACAAAGTCCCAACCAATGTCATAACCAGCACATGTAGATGAAGACAATCGATATACACAATATTCTGCACAGTCCCAAAACCTAACACATGACAAATCGACACAACGTAGAAGAAAAACCTGTAACAGTATAACACCTCTGTCAGTATATAAACTGGATGTTCCATTGGGAAAAAATCTTCCTTCTGGGTAAGTATTGTTAGTCCATCCAGCCTAAATATAATTCATTGTAAAATGTAATACAATGGTCTTTTCTAAGAAATTATAGATAAAAATAACACACAAAAAAGAAATACAGGGATATCATTTGTAATACAGCAGTAATATAAGAAGAAACCTACCCCACATTCACAAATGCCATCCAAAAATGGATAAACTGATTGATTATGTATCCATCTGCTTCGTATATTTAATTGTTCCACTAACTGTGGTGAAAATGGGTCTTGATCAACTTTTTGTTTACTGGGATTATTTAACCCAAATTTCCAAAGACCAGTAACTTCATCAAATACATCAATCCACTAGATAAAAAATTCATTTTAGAAGATAAAATTGTAAAATTGAACAGTAAAAAATAATAGTGCAATAGAACAAAAATATTTCTTTGCAATATTTGAAATTTGTTTTGAAATTTCTTGTTGCAATATTGCAAATTTGCAACAAATTGTTTTACATTAAGCTTGGATTAAGGAACTCAGGGGGGCCCTATCAAAGAAAGTTAAGGCAATATTATTTTTTGCAATAATGCAACAATGTAAAACACATAATGTAACAAACCAAAATGTAACATAATAAAAGTATGAAAAAAATAAAATAATAAAATCATATTACACAATGAATCCCTGGATCGCCTTAAATTTGAGCTCACATTCAGTTAACTGTTATTTTTACCATGACAACATCACTAGGAAGATTACTATCAAAAGATTAAAAACTGCTCCTACCCTTAACCAGACTAAAGTGTATATTTTTTATCTAAGTTTTTTTATTTCCTAGATGAGCCATCTTTATCACAACTAAGGCGCATTTTAAAACCTATAATTTTATACTTGAGCTATTAATTTGACTGTCATTAATTACAGAAGAAAATAATGGGCAGTCAACACAGACTGCCAGGAATGACTAAAACTGCTATTTTGACTTCCATAAATGAATTCTTGCCAGCCAATGTTGATGGTTTGAATAATATCAGAACTTTGCTTAGGATCTACTTCAAAAATACATATATTGAAATTTCAGAAAATTTTATTGAATTCTACACATAAATTCATTAAAACTTTTAACCATCAAAAATATTTTTAGTGTTTATGATATGTATATTGCGCTATTGATGCATATTATATATGACTAAAACTAAAACTTTTTTTTTATCTTCTTTAAAATCATTTTTTTTTTTTATAACTATAAAAAAAAATGATTTTAATTTAAACTATAATAAAGTGTTTTAACTAAAAACATTTTTACTTTAAACCATACTTTGCCTTTAATATTTCAATTGTAATTTTTACCACAATCATTATAAAAAAAATTAAAATCATTTTTTTTTTTATAACTATAAAAAAAATGATTTTAATTTAAACTATAATAAAGTATTTTAACTAAAAACATTTTTTCTTTCAACCATACTTTGCCTTTAATATTTCAACTGTATTTTTTTTTTAAATTTTACTTGTAACTTTTTGTCGTCAATTGCGAAGTCATTGTAATAAATGAATGTTTTGTAAAGTAATAATTAAGAGATTATAACATACCAATTATGAGCATTTTTTTATTATATTATTATTATATTATTGAATTCTTTAAAAAAATTAATTAAAATGATCAAAACAGTTATTTTAAACTTAGCCTTTTACTTCAAAAAACTTTTAACAAGTTAATTTGTACGTTAGTTATATACTTTAATGCAATGATTTTAATTTAAATTATTACTTTAAAAGTAAATTTATTTTTGAAGTTTAAAAGTTTAGTTGATAGTTAAACGTTTGAAGATTTATTATTTGAAGAATTTTTATTTTATAGACATTTTTATTTTAACTTAAATTTTATATCAAATTTATATTAAATAACTTTATACTTAAAATTTGTTAACACATAATTTTGTTTTATACTTAGAACCTATTTATTAAAGTACCAAAATGACCAGGTCTAAAAGTAACATATTGGTTCTATCAGGAATTAATATTTATGCTTATACCTATAACATAATCCATTATCAAACTAAAACTAATGAATTTAGTTTGATTTAAAAACTAAACCTAATGAATTTAGATGACTTTTTGGCTGTAGGTGATATGTAGCATTTGCATGTTAGTGATTTCCCTTTATTCAATCAGATTATTAAAACCTTTTTAATGGTTAAAGTTGTTGAAATGGTTTCAATTCAAGTTGTTTCTTCATGCAGCGACATTGTCAAAATTTATGTTTCGTAGTTGAAGAGTTAAAAAAGGGTTGTATCTACAATATTAAAAGAAAAAAAAGGAAAAAAAGAGAGTAACTATTCTCCTGGACTGCAGTGGCCCCCTTGGCCTTTGAACAAAAAAAGAAAGTAAAATCCATAAGAAATCTTACCTTTTGGTCAGGAAGTTCAATGCCATCCATTGGTAAAACGTAATCACCAAAATCATCATTTAAGTTGCCACTAATAGAACTTAAATCCCAGCATTCTCTAAATTTGATTAGATGACAACAAACTTCAGAATCACTTGTTAAGTATTTAAGAGCCCTTTTAGACCCTTCATTAATCATACATAATGAGTTGTGGCATTGAATGACTCTCCTGTTACTACCTGAAACTTTATACACAGTTACAATTGCCACAGATTGGTTTGCCACAACAGAAAACTTATTGACATTAAGTCGCGACGGTAATTCAATTACTGAAATAGAAGAAAACTTGAGCCCTTCGTTTACTACAGAAACAATAATGTAATGTGTATCACTTAAAACTGGCTTTGAATCCAAAACAGAGAGAAGACTTTTTAACAAGCGAACATGTAGACAAAAACCTACAACAGCATCATCTAAATTGCTGCTTGAAACAGAAAATATTTTGCAAGAACAATTATATATTGGAGATAAAGTTGAATTAGACACACTTATATGAATGAAGTCATTACACTAAAAAACAAATAATATAAAAAAAAAAAAAATTATTCAGTGCATACAATGAATAGAAAATATTTCTCAAAATTTTTTTTAATTCTTTGGTAAAAGCTGATACAGAAAATACAAATTTTGTATTGACATAAATATGTAAAAAAAAACTATTAATAAGAATATTAAAGTTACTTACTAAGAAATCACCAGTGTTCGAATCATAGTCATTCATTAGAACTATATGCATAGCTTCATTCATGTATCTCCATTTTAAAACACCATGATTGAACAACTGTCCACAATAATATTGAAACAGATTTAATTGAACAGACGATGTGTTCTGCAAAAAAGGCAATTTATCTGTTGACAATGAAAGTTCTTCAACACTATTACTGTTAATACTTGTTGATAAAGTTTCTATAGATATTTTATTAAAAGGCCTTTTACGGTAACCATAAGCTTTACCTATATATATAAATATAAATATATATATATATATATATATATATATATATATATATATATATATATATATATATATATATATATATATATATATATATATATACAACACTTTTGAGTTCTTTAGACATGTTTCGAACATAGTTCATCATCAGTAAAATAGAAAAAATAATAAAAACAATTAAAAAAACATGTCACAACCTAACAAACTTAGTGCAGATCAAGTAAAATTTCTCAATGAAAGATTACTAAATTATTATAATGCTTTATAAGTAAGATTTATAAGTAAGATTTATATTTTGCATGAGAACACTATATATAGAAACTTTGAAAAACATAAAAAAAAGGATTCTAAAATAGTTACTTAAAAAAAAAATTGGGGTAAAGTTTAGGCATCAATTTCAGGCCTTGCGATGAATAAGAGCTGCGCGACGCATAAGCACGACGTGATTTTTGACGTCATTGAATTCTTTTTATTTGCTTTTCATATTTATCGACATTAACTGCACCAATTTATTTAATTACCGCAAAACTACTTTAAATCGTTTATGTAGAAATGTTATTATTTAAAAATGTTTTGGAATGTTTCGTTTTTTAAAATGTAAAAACATTTGTTTATTTTCTCGAGTTTGTCACGTTTTGTCTATACTAAACGAATAAAAAACATTATAACTTAAATTTAAAAAAGATTATAAAATATGCTAATATTTGATTTTTTTTTTTTCTTAAATATGTAATTTAAAGTTTTTCAAATAATTATTTTTTCTTTTTAAAAAGTCAGCGAGTAATAAACTGGAAATTTTAATATTGTACGATTAAAAACTGTGCAATAGCTAATATTTTTACAAGCGATTTTATATAATATTTATTTATTTATTTTTATTTATTTTCATAAAGCGGTTGATAAGCACAATCAGTCGTATTAATAAAAAACTTAAACGAACGTTTTGAATAGATTTTTAATGTTAACAAGGAATTTTATTTCTAGTAAAATAAAATAAAATGTTAGAATAAAAATCTTATAGGTATAAAAGAAATATTTTAGCGAAAAAATTATTCTTAAAAATTATTCTTAAAAATTATTCGAAAAACTATTGACGTTCTATTTTTCAGCAGCTGTTCTTGAGCACGCTTCGATGAGTTTCAGTAACTTTTAACATAAAAGCGATCGTTATTATTTAAGTAATTTTTTTGAGTTCTTTTTACAAAAATTTTAATAACTGTACTTTTTCATTGAATCAAGTAGAATACGTTTTAATATTAATCTTTTTTTTTTTTTATTTGCCCTCACCAATTTTTAAAATGTTTCCTCGAAATCACTCTTAAATACTTTAAATACGTCTAACAGTTAATAAATATTTTTAAATCTATGGAACAATTTTAAAACCTATCAAACCCCTGTAAAATAATTATTTAAGTTTAAAATCTAAAACTAAAAGAAAGTATTTTTGTTCAATTTTATCGACAACGTTGCTATTGCTGAATAATTTTATTAAAATGTTAGCTTAAAAGATTTAAACTTTTTTTTTTAATTTTTGAATTTTTTCTACTTGAAAATAATGAGCATATTTAATTTTTTTAAATTCAAACTTTTATTTCAACTGCATGCGGTTTTTAAAATACTTGATTAAATGTTAAAATAATCGTCAATTACTTCATTAAAATTCCGCTCAAAAATATCTTTAAATATACTCAAACAAAAAATTTTTTGCTCGACGCAAATAGCCCTAGCTACACGCAAAATCGCCCTTGGACGACGTAAAATTCACATCGCCCGACGCTTTATCGCAAGGCCTGATATATATATATATATTTTTTTTTTTTTTTTTTTTTTTTAACATCTTCACTTCCAACAAGGCTGCAAGCAACCACTATAAAAGTTGGAAGTTACTGGAAGAGAAAAGACTAAATCTGTAGAGCAAGATAACGATTGACTGATGACTTAAAAGATTGCAAATTATATGAATCAGGAAAGCAAGATGAAGGAAGCGAATTCCAAAGAACTGATGTTCGAGGAAAAAAACTAGAAGAATAAGAGTTTTTGAAGCACTTAGGAACAGTCACAGAAAAAGGATGAGACTTAATTGAATGGCGAGTAACACGAGAATGAATTTTAGTAGATGGCACAAGGGACGCTAGCTCTTTAGAGCAGTGCCCATTATAGTATTTGTAGAAAAGAGAAAGAGAAGCAACATTACGACGATGTGACAAAGGTTGGAGATTGGCTGCCAGAGCAGGTCCAACTATGTTTACAATTCGTTTTTGCACCTTGTCTAAAAGAGAAAGAGCATCATTAGAAGATCCGCCCCAGATGTGGCAACAGTATTCCATACAGGGACGGATTTGAGATTTATAGAGATAGAGAATAGAATCTGGAGTAAGAAAGTGTCGAGCTCGATAAAGAGATGCAACCTTAGCAGATGCTAATTTTGCAATGGATTTGATATACGGTTTAAAAGAAAGATCAGAAGTAAGAGTTAATCCTAGAAGATGAATGGTAGATGACTCATCTAGTACATTACCATTCATAAATATAGGAAGATCTAAATTATTACGATAACGATTGGCCGAATAAAATTGAGTTTTATCTGAATTAAAGTTCACCAGCCACTGTGAGCCCCATGCTGTAGCAGAAGTGAGATCCTTTTCAAGCTCAGATACCCCCTCCAAGCAATCAGAGAGTGTAGGCTTCTTATCATGACAAGAGTAAATGGTAGTGTCGCCAGCGAATAATGCCACCTTAGATGAGAGAATATCTGGAAGATCGTTAATGTAAATTAAAAAGAGTATAGGGCCAAGGATTGAACCTTGAGGAACCCCTGAAGTTACAGGATGTGAAGAAGAGTGTTGTCCATCGAGGACAACTTTTATACTACGATTGGAAAGAAAGGACTCAATAATCTTAAAGACGTTACCAGCTACACCATAAGAAGAAAGCTTATGGAGAAGACCAGCATGCCAAACTTTATCAAAAGCTTTAGAAATGTCAAGTGCGATAGCCTTAACCTCTCCACCTCTATCTAATGCACGGTAAAACCTATCGGTTATTACTGTTAGCACATCAGCTGTAGAACGAGAAGACCGAAATCCATATTGATGATCAGAAAGTAAGTTATTTGATTCAAGATGAGAGATTAAGTGTTTGTTGATTAAAGATTCAAAAACCTTGCTTATGACAGGAAGAAGACTAATGGGACGGTAGTTAGATGAATCAGATCGCTCTCCGGAATTTTTGAAAATAGGGATAACAGATGCTGCTTTCCAGCATGATGGAAAACAAGACTCTGATAAGCACTTGTTAAATAGTTTAGAAAGTATGGATGAAAGCTCCGGAGAACACCTCTGCAAGACTACAACAGGAATGTTGTCAGGACCACAAGCTGTTGAAGAGTCTAAGCAGGAAATTACTTTAGATACAGAAGCTGAAGTAATGCGAATGTCAAGCAAGGGATCAACCTGTTTGACAGCTATGTCAGGTAAAACGCAACTAGTGGAATCAAGAGATGATATTGATGAAAAGTTCTTAGCAAACAATTCAGCTTTGTCTTTAGGTGAGGTGACAAAGTCTGAACCATACAAGAGAGAAGGAATAACAGATTTGCCCTTATTATTGATACTGTTAAAGATTCTCCAGAAGTCTCGAGAGCCTAATTTTTGTGATGAGATACGAGATTTAATGACCTGGGAATAGCGAGCTTTGGCGTCAGACAAAACCTTTTTACAATGGTTTCTGGCGATAGTGAACAGATGTCTGTTTTCTGGAGAATTGTTTTGCTGATAGATATGGAAGTAACGGTTTCGATTAGAAATTGCTGCAGCGCAATGTGAGGAAAACCAAGGAGAAGAGTGAGGCTTGACCTGGAATCGTCGAGAGGGAATAAAAGATTCCATGCCAGCCTGAATCCACGAAGTTATGTAAGAAGCACATTTGTCAGCAGGAAGACGAAAGATTTCTACCCAAGGGCCATCACGAAGAAAATCACGGAAAGAGTCCCAGTCAGCTTTAAGGTAGTTATATGTGGTACGATGATAGGGGGATTCTGATGAAGTAGAAGAATTTGATAATAGTTTTAGAGAGATCAAACCGTGATCAGAAGTACCTAAGGGTGAATGTGGAGAAATTGAGCACTGACTAGGATCCAAAACAAGACATAAGTCGAGTAGAGAAGGTAAATGATTAGGGTTGTCTGGAAAACGAGTTGGAAAGTTGACTATTTGAGTTAGAGATTGAGAAAGGCAAAAGTTGAGGGCCTTAACGCCAGCAGAGTCACTGACACTAGAGCCAAGCCAATCGGTGTGATGGGCATTAAAGTCACCAACAACGACGATATTGGCCGATGGATAGAGAGAGAGGGCTTGGTCAATTTGATCAGAAATAACATCAAGAATAGTGCAATCTTGGGATGAAGGAGAGCGATATAGAACAAAGAGAAAGGCGATAGAGTGAAGTTGTGCTAAACGAAAGCACATAAATGAATAGTCTGTAGATTCAAACCTAGTTTCACGACAAATGGGTGAGTTCTTACGAATGTAGATGCCCAGGCCAAGCATGTGATTATTGGAGTCTTTATGAATTAAAGGAAGATAACCATCAACACTAAGATCACAAGATGGGACAGCCGAACTCAAATTAGTCTCACAAAGAGCAAGTAGGTCTGGTGAACTTTGCAAGAGATAAGACTCAACAGAAGAAAAGTTACTTCGAAGACCACGAATATTAGTAAATGATAGGTTTAGAGAACTTGGTGATGACGATGGTTTTTTGTGTTTTTTAGTTTTAGGTACTTTAGTCATTTTAAATTTATAAAGAACTTGACTCAAGTATAGATAGTACTCAGTACACTATTTAACAACTAAGCAATAGCCTCATTACTATTAATAAACCCTAAGCCGTAACAAAGGGCTCCAAATGTGGCCTCTGCAATGCACACCAAAAGTACAAACAGGGACACCATCCATGCGCAACATGGCACTGTTAGTACTCTGATATTTTTCAGCTGTTGATGGAATCAGCCTCTCTGAGAGCTACCACAGAGTTCGGGAAACCTGACTACCAGCCGGCCTCAGAACCATAAAACTGAGTTTTAGAGCTGTACCCTCATTAGGAGATAATAGAATGAGTTGCCCAGTCATAAAAATAGAATCACAAGCAATACCCACGCATTGAGTCAAGAAGATCCAGCGTTCAACATCCTAAACTGGAAACAATGTATTAAAAATACATCTGCGCCAGCCTAATAGATGAGGAAGGGGTATATATATATATATATATATATATATATATATATATATATATATATATATTTATATATATATATATATATATATATATATATATATATATATATAAATATATATATATATATAAATATATATATATATATATATATATATATTTATATATTTATATATATATATATTTATTTATTTTAGAAAAAATTAAATACCATGTGGTTTTTGCTTTTGATAGAGACTATCTTGCCTTTTTGAATAGGATTCTACATCTTGACTTGTGTAAACTTGATAGGGAAGAACTGAATTGATTCCGAATTTTTCTTTTAATTTTGAATGAATGAGGTTCTGATAACATCCACTTAAACTATCAAACTCAAAATATCTGGCAATATATATGGCACCTTCAGCAGATGGTAAAGAAAATAAAACACAATAGAATAAACAATCACTTGAACCAGAAGATGCCAGTGATAGAAAATTGTCCTCTGTCTTGAACAATGGAGATTTACATACTAAAAACTCAGATTCCATTATTTCGGTTGTTTCAATGATAGCTTTTATACCTTCAGAACACTTATTTAGATTGGAAATCATCACTTCTAAATTAGCTTCCACTAAATTGTTACAAATATAATTAAAAAAGCATCACAAATACTCAAAATATAACTTATTATATAGAATATGTCGTTACTAGACTTATTATTTAGTAGTACAATATTGATACCAGTCAGTCACCTGATAATCATAGCGAACATCTCAAGTTACAAAACGGACTATGTGTTACTACTATTATAAACACTATTTTATTGTTTAGACTGTTGTAAAAAATTGTGCATTGGTATAAGCCACAACACAAGATTAAATATTATTATATTATACAGTAAAATAGTAGAATTTTATTATCACAAGAAACTCTTTAATAAACTTTTAAACTATAAACTTTTGCTACTTTAAAACAAATCAAGTATAATTACTTACTTTGAAATCTTCACTTTGAAATCTTCTTTGAGAAATTAAATAAAGTATAATAAAGTCTAAAATCAAATCTAAAAATCAAATTAATCACAAGATTAACTAATGTATTATTTTCACCCTTAAAAACATTTAGGGTCTTTTGTGAGGATAACCACATTTAATTGTTTATTGACTAAATATAATATTAAATGTATTCTACATTACCAATGAATATAAATATTATAATAAAGATATTATCAAATGAAATCTATAATAAAAAAGAATTTAGTTGTAATATTTTCTTTATATAATCAATCAATTAATAATATACTTTAGAATATAGATCTTACATTCCAGGTTATTTACAAATAGTAAATAAAAATGTTAATAAAAATATAAATGATAAAAACATAGTAGCCACAAAATGAAATTCCAGGACTTTAATCACATTTTTCAGGACATTTTATCATAAAAAACAATTTTTAATGTAATAATATAAAAAATTAAATTCAATTAAAACAAAGTAAATACAACAATGCAATAAAAATAAAGAAGACCTTTCAAACCATAGGAGCAAACTTGTCAAAATTAATTTTACAGAAGTATTATTAGTAACTTTTTAACTACATCTATATATATATATAATAATTTTTAAAAATCATTTTTAAAAAATTTAATTTTTTCATGGATTTTTTTTCAAATATAATGAACAGTTTTTTTTTTTTTATATATAAATCAAATGAACATTTTTCGACAGCTGTTTTATCATAATTTTCTTAGGATTTAATATGGTAATATTGGTTTTATACTTTATATAAATATATATATATATATATATATATATATATATATATATATATATATATATATATATATATATATGAATATATATATATATATATATATATATATATAAATATATATATATATATATATATATATATATATATATATATATATATATATATATATATATATAATATATATATATATATATATATATATATATATATATATATATATATATATCTATATATATATATATATATATATATATATATATATATATATATATATATATATATATATATATATATATATAATATTGGTTTTATACTTTATATAAATATATATATATATATATATATATATATATATATATATATATATATATATATATATATATATATATATATATAAAATTGGTTTTATACTTTATATAAATATATATATATATATATATATATACATATATATACATATATATATATATATATATATATATATATATATATATATATATATATATATATATATATATATATATATATATATATATATATATTAAATCATATTATATTAACCATTTTATGAAATTTTTTATTAAAGATTAATTGATTTCAATCAATTAAGTTATTAAAAATTTGGGTAAAAAATTTTTATTTTAATATAATTAATAAATATTTAATAAATTGGTTAAATTTCGCATTAAATAACGCTAATACAAATGGAGTTTATATAAGATAATTTTATTTAACATAAGAAGTATAACATGTCAGTTTACAAAAAAGGTTTATAAACAGTAACTAATTATAAATATATACACACACACATATGTGTGTGTGTGTGTGTTTATATATAAATAGTGATTGTGACCATTTTAATATATTGGTCGAAATAGTCACTGTATATATATATATACATATATATAAATATATATATATATAAATATATATATATATATATATATATATATATATATATATATATATATATATATATATATATATATATATATATATATATATATATATATATATATATATATATATATATATATTAAATCATATTATATTAACCATTTTATAAAATTTTTTATTAAAGATTAATTTATTTCAATCAATTAAGTTATTAAAAATTAGGGTGAAAAATTTTTATTTTAATATAATTAATAAATACTTAATAAATTGGTTTAATTTCACATTAAATAACGCTAATACAAATGGAGTTTATATAAGATAATTTTATTTAACATAAGAAGTATAACATGTCAGTTTACAAAAAAGGTTTATAAACAGTAACTAATTATAAATATATACACACACATATATGTGTGTATATATTTACATATATGTGTGTATATATTTACACATGTGATGCACAAGAAGTATCATGTTGTTTTGGTTTTTCAATGTTTATAATAATAACGATAATAAACTAATCGCAGTGGCTACAGTACCGGCTGCTGGATCTTTAACTCTTAGTGCTAGGGTACCGGCTGGTCTGGGCTCTAGCTAAATACTCTCTTCGCGTCCGAAAAATATTACCGTAAATGCTACTTCGTTTATGTAATATATAAAGTACACTATATAATTTACTATATATACATATATACATAGTGTTATACTGATAAGTAACTTCAGTTTGAATTCACTTAAAAGTAAGGATTCTATATATTAAATGAAAAACATTTTACTATTTGTTTATTATAGATACAAAATGCTAAAGGTTGTTTATTATAGATACACAGATGCTAAAGAAAATATTCTTTGAATCTATTTAGACTCACAGAATATTTTCTTTAGCGGTTTGTTAGCTAACAAATAATATATAGACTATGGCAGTCAAATTGTTTTGCAATATTTATATAAGTTTTTTGATAAATAATTATCAAATCAGTTTTTAAATTAGACGGCATTATCAGCCTTATTAGAGACTAGAGACTCTAGGAATTTAAATAATGTTTTAAATATGGAAAAGTTGAATATGATATAAGAACCTTTTTATATTTAAATCAAAATGTTTAAATATGAAATATCTTGCAACAATTTATCTATTTCATCAAAGCAAACTATGTTTGCTTATATGTCATTGTCTAACTTATTATAAGTTAGACAATGACATATAAGCAAACATAGTTTGCTTTGATGAAATAGATAAATTGAATGATTTTTTATTGATTTGATACCATACTTATATGTCTCAGACATATAAGTAAGACATTGTCAGACATTAGAATATAAATCTTATATTCTAATGTCTGACAATGTCTTACTTATATGTCTGAGACATATAAGTATGGTATCAAATCAATAAAAAATCATTCAATTCATTCCTAGAATTCTCTACCTAGTGAAATTAAAAAATCTGCCAAACAAGTAAATATAAATATGTTTCTTAAACGAGTAAAAGAGTTATCATGAAAACGCAAGATGAAACTACAAAATAAGTATGGGTATTCGTGTAGAATGTATAATAATTGTATAAGTGTATCCATATGTCACATATGGATACACATCTATATGTGTATCCATATGTCATGGATATACATATACAATTGTTATACATATATATGTTCATGTATGCATATATGCATATATAAAATATATACATATATGCATACAAATTCATATAAACATACACACATATATGTGTGTATATTTATATGTATTTGCGTCTTAGTATTTATATGAAATTTATATATATATATATGAATTTCATATAAATACTCAGATGCAAATCTGTATAAATATACATGATATGTGTGTATGTTTATATGAATTTGTGTGCATATACATGTGTATATATATATATATATATATATATATATATATATATATATATATATATATATATATATATATACATATATATGGGTGTATGTATATGGGTGTGTGTATATAATGTATGTGTGTATTGTATGTGTGGCAGTATATGTGTGTATGTGCATGGGTATATATGTAGGTATGTGCGTATACAGTTAGTATGGGTATATATGTGTTAAATAAAACAAGTACAAAAAATACTTAAAAAAAAAATAATGAAAAAACATAATTGAAAATAAAATTATGAAGAAAAGTAAATAAAAATATCATTGTAAGAAAAATCAAAAAATACCATAAGTTTAAATTTAATATATTAAATACTACATTAGTTAACACAAAACATCAATTAAAAAAAAATATATATATATATATATATATATATATATATATATATATATATATATATATATATATATATATATATATATATGTATATATATATATATATATATATGTATATATATATATATATATATATATATATATATATATATATATATATATATATATATATATATATATATATGCAGTTATTTAAAGTGGGAATATATTGATTGATTGATTTAATTGCGTGTAATTGTAAAGAATTTTCTTTGGCTAATATTTATCATGGTTTGTTTGATGATTAGGTGTTGATAATTTCTAAATGCTCCTGCAGGACCTGGAGCTGATGCCAGTGCATTTGATTTATCAGGATAATTTTAATTTTCTAAAAAAAATATAGTATAGTTTTCTTTTTTAAGTATTGCATAAATATTATTTTTTTACTTTTTTTAGTATGCCTACTGTTGAAACATGGTTTTAATTTAGTAATTTTCAAGAATTGAAATTTACTCTATTGATCATTAGCCAACAGCCAAAAATCGGATAGAACACCAAAATGGTAAGGAATAATTTAGCAATAATTTTTTTTTTTTATAAAACAAACATAAATAATCAGGATTTAAGAAAATTAATAAAAATAAAAAATATATATCAGTGGTTAGTTAGTTTATCTAATTAAAGTTAATAGTTCTGCAAATTAGTATGGTAAATTTAACCCTTTTTTTTTTCTAAGAAATTGTTTGAATGAAGTTTGTAGTTATAATCCAGTAAAGGAGTGACACCTTTTTTAAAAAAATTATATTACTAATAATAAACATATAGACATAAAACATACAAGACACACATAAAGTAAACTTTTTTAAATATATAGTTTGCATGGGATAATAAATGAGAAAAGAAAAATAAACAAACAAAAAAATAATAGTTATAGTAAAAGATAGAAGTTATAACAAAATATTTTTCAGAATTTTTTTTAAACTGATTTTAAATAAGATAAAGAAAAGATGATGAAGGATTTTGTTGTTAGAGTTAAACTCATTTACAATGCATACAAGGCTTTTGTTCCATTCACAGATGCACCGATAGGTAGCAAAATTTTTACCATACTTTTGAGTTTACCTAGATGATACATTAAGCTTTCCATTATTTATTTTTGGCGTAGAGTGTGTATGTATTAGTCTACTTACTATAAAACAGTTTCTTATTTATTACATTTTTATTTAGAGAATTAAATACAAAAAAAAGATTAGCAAACTTTACTAGCGAATGAAACGTTGGAATTTTAAGTTTTTTGTAAGAATCTGATTTATAAGGTTGAAAGTTTATTATTCTAATTAGATTGGCATTGAGACGACAATAGTTTGTTAGTATGATTGTTTGTAGTTTAATCCCAAACTTGGCAAAAATAACTAAGATGAGATGACAATAATGCATAGTTTTGAAATGATCTTAAACATAAGGAAATACTGTACAGGTAGGCAGACCAAAAAACTAAAGGATTCTAAAAGCTAAATGCTCAAATTAGAGCCTGTAACTTAGAGATTAATTAAGAAGAAAAAAAGTTTTTTATTTGTCAAATAAATTTTTCTAATTTGTATTTCTTTATGTATTAGCTTTTGAAGTCCCTTAACAAAAAGAATATATATGGATCCATAACTAAATTTTAAAATGAAACTTGCTTTTTTCTATTAACAAACAAGTAATATGACTAGTTGTTTGTAAACCAACTTTTGCATGTGGCTAACCATAAAGGACGTCATGTAATTAGAGTTGGGTTAGAGTAAAAAGAGACAAGGGAGAGGAGACAGTTTTGTCAGAAAAGGACATCACTTTATAGATTTTTTTTACAATTTTATTAACAGTGTCCATATATAATTTGATTTATTTTCATTTTTTGTTTGTGTGTTCATATTATATAGTATAAATTATATTTTAAATGAAAAGCATATGTAACAGGTATTAAGTAGTTTTGTTTTTACTTGTTGTCAGTGTTGTTAAACTCAACATCAGAAAACTATATTCCTTAAAATTAATTATTCATCTACAGGGTTCCACTTAAACTAGAAATCCTGAAATACCTGGAAAGCATGAATCCCAAGGAAAAACCTAGAAAACCAGGGAAATTTTTTATTTTTTCAATAATCAGGGAATACTCAGGGGTCATTCCATATAAGATTGTCATATTTCAAAAATATTTAAACAGAATATTAGAAATAAATTTTTAAACATTAAATCAACAGACACATTAGTACATCTAAAAAAAAATATCTTCACTTGGTCAATTATTTTTTATGCATGTGTAAGAGATGTTTAAAATTTGGTAGCTATTTTTAACTAATATAAAAAACATGGATTTCTTAACATGGAGTTGTGTGAATCGATTTTTATTTTATTTTAAATTTTTAATTCTCAGATAAAACTCGTGTTATAAAGAATAATTTCAATAATTGATTTAACTATGTAAAGGTTGTGAACTAATCTAAACTTTAATTTGTTTGACATATTCTACATAAAAATCCAGAAAACATATAAATATGATAACAATGCCTAAATTGACAAACAAGTTTGTAAAGGTTATAGAGAAAGAGAGAAAACTGAATTGAAAGAAATAAAAAAAGAACGAAGTAATATTTGAAAATACAGAGATCTTCAAAAAGCTCATGGTATCATTGATATTCCTTATTGAAGAAGTAGAGAAAAAATAGAATTAACTTGTAACAACATGTTGTATATTATTCAAAGGTTTTATTCAATCTATTGAAGATGCTGACAAAAATAATGATTTGAAATTAACTAATAAATCAATTGCTTTAACCGTCCGGCTATTAACCAAATTTTCACCCTTTGTTTAATAACTGGGTACCCACCTAGGGTTAAGTGAACATACAATTTAATTCAAGTGGAAGGAAAACAATTACTGGGGATCTTCCTCTATACTATGCCATGTTTGTCTCAACAACATATTCAAAAAACCTTGCCAAACTTGAAAATCATGTTTAATATGCACGATGTTTAATATGCATTTGTAATGAGTATTGTATTTCAACCCCAACATGTAATGACTTTTTAAAATAATTAACTGCATTTTTATTTTTTATGGAATTAAGTTAAATAAACAAATTAAATAGCTAATAAAATACTTTAAAAAACAGTCTTATTATGAAGTATAAACCCAAATTTCATATGTTTAGCATAGTTAGTACCCGGTCATTCAACGAAGGAGGTATCGAGCTTGACAGTTCACAACTGCTATCAAATGATTGATTTGAAAAAATTGATGCTAAACTACTTTAAGTTTTGGAAACGGAGCAGCCATAAATTTATTTTA